CCGAACGTAATGTTAAAAGCACCGAACGTAATGTTCAAAGCACCGAACGTCATGTAAAAAGCACCGAACGTAATGTTCAAAGCACCGAACGTAATGTAAAAAGCACCGAACGTAATGTAAAAGCACTGAACGTAATGTTAAAAGGGCCGAATAACAAATGCCCCGAACGGAAAAGAGCCACCAAAGGCAGTAACCGCGTTCCATATCTGATAGCATGCATTGTTGAGCAATGGGATGCTGGTAGATTGAGACTACCAAGATAAACAACTGCTGCATTAAAGTCTACTACCGCTAATAGGGGTGGCGCTCTTTCTCGGCCTTTTTTCTACAGATAATCGAAATGGTTAGTGATGTAGTAAATGCTTTCAAGTAATCTTTAAAAATCTTACTCCTTACGTTACCATCTACAAAATATTGATCAAGGATAGTGTTTATGAATAATTACTTTATTTTTTACGCCATTATATTTACTTTTTTTATTTTATACTGTAAAAATATCGTGGTTCCTTATTATGCTGTGGTATTCTAGGCCTACAATATAAAGTCCTCCATGCAGGCCTGTGCCTTTGCGTTAAGAAATAAATATGATGGGAGAAATTTAACTTTAACCTAGTTTATAGGCTTAGATAGGGGCCGTAAACATTGCTGCTCTCGGGACTAGGCTCTAGATAGGCCTAGCTAGGCTAGAGAGGGGCTGTAGCGTAGCAGTAGACAAACCTTACTTTTTAGAGAGGCTAGGCTAGGCTAGGCCCTATGTACAATCATAGAGTAGTGTATTGTAGGACCGTTGCGCCGCCATGCATGTATAGGGGCTGGTATATGGAACCAAACAGAATGCTGTGTGTGATGTGTATTTTATGATTGATTTTGGTTCATTTTATTTGTTTTGAATTGTAGTCAAAATAATAATATGTCAAATCAGGAGGTTTATCTCCATACCAGGGAGTTGTTATAGTGATATACAGTTTTAAAAACTGAATTTTAAACTAGGCCTAGCCTAGATATCTATGTACCCACCATAAAAATTAAGCTAAATATACATGGTATAGGCCTTTTTCACGAATTTTTAAAGACAGCTTGAAGTGATGACAAACATTGCGAATCAGCGGTGCGTAACCAACAGAAATAGGATAAGCTTTTTGGCTGATTTTCTGACATCGTGTTATTTAAAAAATCATAACTCATAACGGGGCGTCGTATCCAAACAATTTTTCCAGCAAAATTTTCTTAAAAGACTAGTCTAAACCACTATATGATTGAAAAAAAAAAGTGAAAAATGTTTTTGACCTCTGAAATCAAGATGGAAAAAGAAAAGCCTATCTTAGTAGTGTATTAATATAGGCCTATGCATTACAGTGCAGTAGCATAGGACTTTCGTGTTGTTACTGTTCCAAGTAGCGATAATATACAGATTTCTCTTATTATAAAGTACAAGTTATGTTTTATAAAGAGGTATAGTATAGTAAATCATGTTTTTTACAAGGAAACTTTCATATGGTAACTAAAACAATGCTAGTTCAGAGCATTACTAGTACTACAGCACTGTAATGCATATACCTATTTTAATACACTACAGAGATAGGCTTTTCTTTTTCAATCTTGATTTCAGAGGTCAAAAAAATTTTTCAATTTTTTTTCAATCATATAGTGGTGTAGACTAGTCCTTTAAGAACATTTTGCTGGAAAAAATTTATGGATACGACGCCCCGTTATAGAGTTATGATTTTTTAAATAACATGATGTCAAAAAATCAGCCCAAAAGCTCATCTTATTTTTGTTGGTTACGCACCGCTGATTCGCAATGTTTGTCATCACTTCATGATGTCTACCGATTCGTGAAAAAGGCCTATTCCATACAGTAGACCTCCTTCTGGCGATACAATACATGATTCCTGGCTGAAACAGACAACATCAGTCATCATAACCTCAACCCGAGGCCATAACATAGTCCTATCCTACCTAGCGATGGCATCTATAACTTGACTGCACTGTCACATATTAAGGTCAACAAACTAAAACAGTATTATTGTACGATCTCTTTGTTTGTAAATAATGTACAGTATGGGATACATAATTAATATGTATGTAATTAATAAGGCTCAGGCATACATACATCCAGTAGTTTCTCTTTTACATTTTTTTTTTAGGCTGAGCAGGTTGAAGTCAAAAAGAAGAGGACTTTCAGGAAGTACACCTTTCGAGGTGTTGATCTGGACCAGCTTTTGGACATGAGCAAGTAGGCCTATGTGTTTGTTATTTTTAGTTGCAACATGTCTAATCAGTACTGTACTATACTGAAATTTAATTATTGTGCAGAAAATCCACCCTTCAATTTCATATACAGGTCTCCCTCCAATTAAAGACCACTTCAGGAACTATGGTCTTTATCACCTTCGGTCTCTAATTAGAATAATAAGGATAAGAGACATTTGTCAATTTGGGACCACAGAAAATTGGTTATTAATTAGAGGGAGGCCTGTATTTTGTCCCTGTTATGCAAAATGTCCTACAGCACAATTGGTCCCCTTAATTTGTAAGGCACAGAGAGAGAGGAATTTGGAGTGAAACTTGAATGCATTCCAACAAAAGACCAATGTTGGGGATATATTTATCTACTAACTTATTTGTATAATGTGCAGTGTCTAAAACAATATAGAACTTTCTCAACTTTTTAGTGAACAATTCATGGAATTGGTACATTGCCGTGCTAGGAGGCGATTCAATCGTGGTCTGAAGCGCAAACCGATGGCTCTGATAAAGAAGCTCCGTAAGGCCAAGAAAGAGGCCCCACCATTGGAGAAACCAGAAGTGGTGAAGACCCATCTCCGAAACATGATCATTGTACCAGAAATGGTAGGAAGCATGGTCGGTGTATATAATGGCAAGACATTCAACCAAGTAGAGATCAAGGTAGATCATATCATTGTTTTTCTTATATTATTCAATGCCATCTCCTATTGTTATAATATGTGAGTGATTTTTTGAGGAACCAGAAATACATCTACAGTATTCTTAATTATTAACTCGCTAAGAAAGTTTCAGTCGTGATGTTTTCTTTTGAAGATATTATAGGTCATTCCATGCCAACACAACAAAACTGTTACACCATGTGTCATACATTTTTAGATCAAAAAATGTGTTGATTTACAGAGATTTTTATTGAACAGCCAATGTAAGAATCAATGCAACAGTTGTAGACTATAAAGAAAAAAAATAAGGTTGAATGTTAGACATTTTAAGGGTGGATCTATGGTAATATTGTTAAACTCTATATAATAAGAGTGAATTTTAAAGGACAAGGGGGTTAATAAAGGTGGGTGCAAGGCCATGAAATTAGCTTTGGACTGGGTGGAAAACTTGAAGGCTGGGTAGTCCAGCCCACTTCCGCCCACCATAACTACATCCCAGATTATTTAACTGTTGGTCAGTTTATGAATGGGGGAATTTTTCTCATTTAAACTTTTAATTATACAAATTATGGAATTATAAATTTTAATCTTCAATCATATTTTATTTTCTTTCAGCCTGATATGATTGGTCATTACCTTGGAGAGTTCAGCATTACTTACAAACCAGTGAAGCACGGAAGGCCAGGTATTGGTGCCACTCACTCCTCCCGGTTCATTCCACTCAAGTAGACCATTTAACCAGTCATGTATTATATATAATGAAATGATAGAACAATAAAAACACTACCATCATTGTGATGGGTATGTTAAAAGGATATGCTTGTTGTTACTTCTTGTGTTGAAAATGGCAATTCGAGGCCAATTTGGGACCTGAAAATGTTGAGTGGTCTCGGGATTATGTCACTGTCTACTTAGGTTTGCGTTAAGAGATTGTTACTGTATTTGGTTTGGTCTCAAATTAGAGGTGTCTCTGTTTTAAAGCGGTTTCGGATTGGAAGGTGCTCTGTATATGTTTACAATTTTGTCAACATCCTTTGTGTCTTGCTCAACTTATTACTCAGGACAAACTAAGACACCGTCTCCTTTCTACTGCTCAATAAAGTAATCTTATGAATCATTCATTCTAGGATGTAACTGAAAGACTTCAAATGCAAATAACCAATGTGGATGTGTATGTACTTAATAAATCTATTTAAAATACAGACATTCAATATTAGTGATGTTGAAGGTTCCTTTGCGGTCCCTAGTATACCCACCCTAATCGACACTACACATCTAAGCCAATCGCCAGAATACATTTATTGGGAGACAAGGCAAAAAAAAAAAACACGTTTGTTTGCCCCCTCCACCCGCCCCTAACTCGCTGAAAAAAGATAGGGACGGAAAATAAAAAAGTTTTGTTTTTAGCTTTTTTACAAATTGAAAAAGTGAATTTATCTTAATTTTTTGCCAGATGCCTTACAAATTAGTCTAAAGTTGTCTGATGTAAGATATTGTCATTCTAGGCCTCTGGTTATTTTTATTCCATCCGATGAGCAATCTTAAAAAATAAAAATGTTTCCGCCAGCCCCTATTTAATACCGAGAGAACGCAGCTTGCCGGAGGACAAGTTTTATGAGAGACCAGTTGCTGAAGAATACGCTATGCATAAGTACTCAACAAAACCTACAAGGCAGCTGCTAATAAAACGGGCGTTCTTTAAATTGCACTACTATTCAAAAACATCTTGCTTGATTCACTGAATTTCAAACAGCGGGAGCCTAGGCCAGAAAGCCAGTTTTACACTTGGACAGTGACTGACCAGAACACCTCAGCATTGTTGTTTGGGCTCCACTACATTTTTCTAAGTGGTGTCACACTTTAATTAGGACTAAAAATGTTGAATTAAATTTATCTCTCATTTATTTAAAGGCTCCATAAATATTACTGGTTGGTTGATCAATGTTTTTTTGTATTTCATATGCTCTAAAGTACTGTACAATTTCATTACTGTATTTACATGTACTTTTCCTTTGGATAATTTATTAATACAGTATTACACTGCAGCTGGAGACAATTCACTAGGTAAATCAGTAAACAAACCACCTTAACCATTACAACGTACAGGTACTTTTATTTTCAAACACTCCTATATTCGAACATACCACAAGTTCTTTCATTCCCATACTCAAGTCCATATGAATATCTATGTACAGCCTGCTACTGGTTAGCAAGGTAAATCTAGAAAACTGCAATTATTTTAACTTAAGGTTCTACATGGATTTTTCTGGTAAATATGTCTTGTTATTTGAATCAACATAAACCACAGAACTATTGTAATATTACATTAATACCAATAAATGATAATAATGGTCATGTCCAAAATTCGAAAAGACATTGGAGTTAGAATGACGATAGTGAAATATTAAAATGTACATCACCCTGGTTAATATTTGTAAGATATGAGATGCCAAGCATTTAGTACACAGAGTTAATTTGATAAATTTTGTGGATCGTTTTTTTAGGTTTTTACAACTACTGATTTATTTCCTATACCACATCGCAACATTCGTCTGTCGTTTTATCTTCTTTTGTAATTGGAGAAAACCATACAACAGTGCTTCTGCTGTAGGAGGACAACCTAAAGCAAAGAGAATAATAAAAATAATTAGCATAAAAAAATAACACGAAACATCACTTAACTATAAACACTTCAACCTGTATCTCAGATAAATTTGCATGATGATATTGTAAACTTTTAAATACTGGATAAAAAAAAAAAAACAGAACACCCAGCTTTTTAACGTTTGCATGATGATATTGTAAACTTTTAAATACTGGATAAAAAAAAACAGAACACCCAGCTACGTTACAGTTTGGTATTATTTTGTGGAACCATAAAAACGTATTCACAATGTAATTTCACAACTACAGTACATAACTTTTTAACGTTCTGCGTTGTGACATTTATTGTGACGTTATTTTGTGACATACCTATTAAACCATATCGTTCCCGAATGTTTTAAGAATATTTTGTATTTTCTGGGTAATGAGTAAATTTGATCCTGAACCACAAAATTGCTTGTGTTGCACCTCATATCGAGTTGAACATTTATGGAGGATCACATACACAGTTCAAAAACAAAGACAAACTCAGAAAATGCATAATCGTGCCATTAAGTACAGTCTCTTCCAGCCACACGCCAGACAAAAACCGATCTTAAGGCACTCAGCCCTCATATAAACTGTTTTCGGCACCCCTGCATTATCATCATTGCTCTTTACAAAATAAAGATAAATAAAGAAGCTAATTTGGGACCACAGAATAGTGGTCTTTAATTGGAGGTGGTCCTTAATTGGAGGGGTATTTCATTGGAGAAAGACCTCTACTTTAAGAAATGACTAACCTGGCACATAAATATCAACAGGTACGATTCGATCACAGCCTCGGACCACTGAATACGAATAATGATAATATCCACCTCCATTTGCACAACTGAAAACAAATCAAAAAGATACACAATACCGTAATTGCAGTATTTTGAGTCATTCTGTAGACTGGTGGCAACATCTTTAAAATTCAAGGTTTCCGACCATGCAGCCACCAAGATTTACGAACTACAGTTCACACTGCCTAAATCTCTGTTCACACAATTCACGTTTTATGTGAAAAATATCTGTGCTTTGGCCATACTGTACATGGGAAATATATCTGTCGCATAAAATGTATGAACAGAGCTTTAGTTGACGTTTTAAACCGGAAACCAGTCAATTCGAACGGATGCCACTTCGACGGATTCAAGCGGAATTTACTTCGAGCGGAAAAAAGATCCACTTATGCGAGCAACAGTCTGTGCAAGTTACAGTATGTACAGTATGAATTACTTAAAAATTTCCTATTTTGAGCTAACAATTTGCATTCGGCTGAGGCTCAAGCTTTGCCTGGAGCCAGGGGAAAAGCCCCGGAGGGTTCCCGCGGCGAACCCTATAGCCTTATGTATAGAAGTTGTATTTAATTAATTTTTAAAATTTAAAATTAAACATAATTAAGTTCATAAAAAATAATGATTTATCTTATCTTAGTCATTCGTAATTGTTATTCTTTCCACTTGCTTTAAGAAATTGGGTTTTGAACTATAGACTAATGGTGAATAGTGGGGAAAATTAATATGTCATTATTACTGTACTGTTGACAGTCTTGTCACACTACTACACCAATGATTTGTGCACCTCCTGACACCTAGATTATGTAAATATAGTTTAAATTTCTATGGTAAATAAAAATTACAATTACAGTTGCTCCCATTACAAATATAAATTATAAATTTAGGGCCTAGTAGAAATACAATTACAACATAATTCAATTACAAATATAATTTGCTTTTTTAGATACAAAACCCCAACTGGAGACAAAAACCTTGAATTCTGAATGAAATGTGTGCAATTTAATTAAAATATAGGCCTAAGTGCATGTTAGCAGCCATCTGGTAGTTGGATTTGCCAAGAGTGTAATTCAAACATGGAATAATTATCAAAAGTACCAAAAACATTTCAGAACCGCCCTTATTATAGTTTGCAGTAAATGCCTCCACTCGAACTGGCATTCACTCAAATCGACTGGCATTCGTTTAAACCATATAGAAACATAATTACCCTAGGAGCCAGACCCGGTTTTGTATGCACTTTGAGGTGCAGAGAATTTGACATCAGAAATTGGATCAGGGTGGTCCAAGAATCATTTTTGGCTTGGTAACATATTCTCAAAATGTGGTGAAAGGTCAAAAGGTCAGGGTCAAAGGTCAAAGCTATAAGGTCATTGTATCTCCACAACCACAGGTGGTAGAGAGTTAAATTTGGTGCCAAATTGTTCGGAACATGCATATTTCTATTTGCTCTAATAGAACATTTTGTTAAAAAATGACCATAAATGCCGTTTCTGACCTTTGACATGCTTCAAGGTCATAGCCATATTGTCCTTATATTTCCACAACCACTGGTGGTAAAGAGTTAATTTTGGTGTTAATTTGTTCGGAACATTCCATGTCAAATTCTCTGCACCTCTAAGTGCATACAAAACCTGGTCTGGCTCCTAGAGTAAATCTGTTCTTGCTACTTTTTCCATTTTTTTTACACTAACTGAACAACATAATTGAATTGAATACTGCAAGTAGGGTAAGATTTTTTATACCTTGTTTCGCTAACTTATCTTTTTAAAGATCATCAGAGGAGGGTGGGAAAAAATTAAAATCAAATTTTGTTTCTTTACTTAGCAGATAGTTTTGCCAAAAACATCCAAGTGGAGGAGAAAATAAAAATAACATTTTATTGGTGAATGGAAAAAAATCTATATAATTAGGAATAGAAATGGGCAGCGGTGGGCATAATAAAAATAAAGAAAAAATTATTTTTTTCTGAAATTTCCATTTTTCGTGGTGGCGGGTGCGCTAATCAGCCAAAAATGAAATTTTATTTTTATTCAAAATCATCATTTTTAGTGGGCGACAGGTTCGTTAAACAAGGTAAAAACACAAATCTTGACTAGCCAGTTATATGCTGTTGGATTTAATATATTTTCAAAGGTACTGTATCACTTCTTATGTTTTAACTGTACATGTAACACATGAGTGATTATTGTTGAGAGGGACGATATTTATTGTTGATTCCAAATTGTCTTTACCTGCCCATTGAAATTACCCATCTAGGCTCTGGCATCTGATCATAAACTTTCCTTAAAGCCGGCGCCATTTTGTTTGTTAGAGTTCCTGCAACAATCATAACATCTGACTGCCTCGGACTAGCACGGAAGACAACACCGAACCGATCCATGTCGTAACGTGGTGCAGCCATGTGCATCATCTCCACAGCACAGCACGCAAGACCAAATGTCATAGGCCACAGCGAGTTCTGAGGAAATGTAAACAAATTCAAGTACTGACCTCGAAAGTCTACAACCATTGCCATTACTGTACCGCTAAGGCAAATTTCGAGACAATTGGTGCATTTAAAGAAAAGTTCTACCTATAAAAGCTATACAGTTTTTGAGCTGAAAACTCAACTAAATATTTCAAAGTTAACGGTAATGTCATAATTCACAAGAAAGGAGAAAATGGAAGTTCCTCAATAGGTGATATTGAGATTTTAGTTTAAATCACTTTGAACCTACATGGGAACTTTCAGTAATTATTACGTTGTCAATATGGATAGCACTTTTACTAGGCCTATATCACATTTGTAATTATTCTCAAGCTTATTCACTAATTTCTCCACAACAACAGTACACCAAAGTGTCAAACTGCATGAAGCCTTGACAGTGACGCTGTTTCGATATCCTTCGGTTTTGACTCTGCCAAATGGTCACTGTAAGTTATTGTTTGGCATCTGTTTATCTTTAAATTTCTTTATCTATCTAGGCCTACAGCTCAGACATGTCAATGCGCACTGTTTTCTAGACGCCCAAAATTACCTCAGAGGTGTTCTGGGTGATCAGTAATTTTTGTTTTTGTTTTTTTGTTTTTTTTTAATTTTTGTTTTGCTTTCCAAAATGGGGGGTTAGGGCCTGCTCAAGCCACCTAAATCCACCCCTGAGATCAAAAATAATATCTACTTACCCTTCTGGCCCAGTTGACAAGGTCATCCATTTTGGCAATGGCGAAATCAGCAGCATTGCTGGCTTTACTTGGTTTGGCAACTGCAGCTTTACTTGACTCTGCAACCGCAGATGAACTCTTCTGTCTGTAGAGGACAACACTGCAATGAAGAACAGACTCCATGATAAAAGCTTCTTTAACAAAAAGTGCCATGAATGCTTTGCCAGGCACAAATTAATTTATAAATTTAATATGCGAGGTATTGTGACAAATTGAGTCTTGTTGTACACCAGGTAAATTTGAAAGGACTCTCAAGAAAATATATTTGATTGATTTTAATTGATATTTTTACAAAAATTGGGTTTCAATGTTTTTGGTAAGTTTAATATGTATATTTCATAGTAGCAAAAGTCTGAATTGAGTTAGTTATAGTAAAGGTGTTTATAATAAGGCACATTTTGTTTACTATTTTTCAGAATTGATAGGAAAACCAACACAAAATTTATAAGTTATTGTATCTTTAATGATGAATTTCTCTGAACTTCAAATTGATCTTACTCTAGTTGTAATTCAAAAACCAAAACAAAGTTTTATATAATCATCCATCTATTATTAAATAGAGATTGGCTATACGCACAGTGGTTGTGTATACAACAAAAGTGCTTTCGAAATTATATACACAGCTGCTGTACGTATAAGATCCATTCTGTCCCTTATTTATATACACAGCCGAGGTGTGTATAAGACCTGTTAAGGCCATTATATACACAGCCGCTGTATGGACAGAATTCATATTTTGATGTTATGCCTACCTGGTTTTATGCGTTTCTGTTGTTTTTTTCTGATCATGTAAATTCCTGCTGCACTGTGTGTTGGCTGCTTGCAACCGCATCAAACCAAAACGCCCACCCGAAAAATGGCGTAGCACTTGTAAGGCTTTCGTAAAAAAAAGGAAAGCATTAAAATCATTCAGCAAAACATGCCAATTATACAACTCCAATACAGTTTCATAATTTCTTTGACTAATATTAATAAAAAATGTATTATTTATGCAGTAGTTATAATTCTGCGCATCTATTTCCCTACAGATTTTGTGCACACAAATTTGAGCTACTTTTTGAGGTATTATCTGTGCAATTAAAAAACTTGACAGTATGGATTAGGCGAGACTTTTTATATACTTTTATGCAACTCGACTGTCTGGACAGCCCTCTATTGTTTTGGCTGCAAAGGTCGTATTTATTTTTTCCCTATGACCCAAAAATACTGATGACGTAGTTCACATTTTCCTCTTTGACCTTGTCATCAAACCAATTTTTCGTTAAGTGGGTGAATTTATTGCCGAAAATTTTGGTTGTAAAAAACTTGCAATTACTTCATAGAAGTAGTTTATTTTGTTCTGAAACAAATTGTGTTAGTTTATATATTCATCCACAACTGGGTGTAATATTTTAGTTTTTTTTTAACACCGAAACCTTGTTTTTGACAGTAAATAAAAATTTGTTTGTGAATGAAAATTCCCCAAATCTATCAGTTTGTGTGGTGCAGGCTGACGTCATGCACATCTGGTCTTGTTGCAATCATATGCAGCAATTAGTCACAATAATTAATTTAATTATTATTAAATTAATAAATGATTGAATTTTAAGGAGTTTCACAATTCTGTTTTTTCCTTGTTGCATGCTTTCAAATTCTTTTATTTTATTGAAATATGTCTAAAAACAAAGAAATTAAAGCAATTTACGATAATTTTTGAAGAAAATGTCACATACTTTACTATTGTTTACATTGGTTTTGAAGGACCAAAATTAGGTATAAATTAATAATTTCTGCAATTCGGTAGCTTTGTTGATATTTGAAGGAGGACAATGATCTTGGTATCAATGTAATGCTACATTGCACTAGGCCCGGCCTAGTGCAATCTGATTCGGCAAATTGGGTTTCGGCAATCTCGCCTAGTAGGCCTCGTAGTTACCATAGACCCTTAAAAGCCATGAAGATCAGCATTAAAAGCCCAGGGCCCCAGCATACAAGCAGGGCATGTTGTTACAAGCAAGGGGATGTTGTTGAATCGCAGCATCCCTGGCCCTGCTGGATCCTAGGCCTACCCTAGGCTTAAACCTAGAATTTACTAGTCAATAGCATTAAATCAGAAATTAAGTACACTCAGTGAGGTACTACTATACTTGAAATCGTAATTATGTAGCTATAACTGTAACTACATGCTAAGAAATAGATAGATAACCAACAAAATAAATCCCACTTACAAGTAGCCATTTTGATTTGATGGATAACTTTTCGTTGATGCTGCCCTCAACGTTCACAAGCGCCACAGTTTTCCAGAATGTAGATTCTTTTTTCAATCTGTCAATTTCTAATGTTGTTTTGTCAAAAAAGAATATATAAATGGAGTCATCAGCGCCATTCTAAAATCTGGAGTATAGGCCTAAGTTATTGTCTTGCAGAAACTGTTTAGAACAACTTCTAATCTACCAAACTGCGTAAGGCCCATAAAATAGCCTATGTACCGTCTCCGAATTCTCCAGAGAACAAACCTGATTGTTAATAGTAATCCGTTATTACGGATTACGGAACATATATTTTATTGGCACTAATGGGCTTTCGTAACAAACAGACGCTGACTCCAAACACCTTGAAACTAATCCTGAATATTGTTTGATGGTTGCCATGGCGATGTAAAAATATATTAAATGCTTGCGGTACAACTACGTAGATAGTTCTTAAAAGAACTGTTGTTTTGTTGAAAATAACTGGATTCCTTCGCGGGGTAGGAGAATAATGCCTCTGCAGAGAGTCCAAACAGAGCAGGGGATGATTGGATAGTGAGCTGCCTTTACTTTTTTATTTGGAACCACTTTTATAACAGTGGTTCACATCCAAAATGATGGTGCATCCAAAAGAGAAGAATCAACAGTAAATTGAAAAGAAAACTCAAAACTAAAATCATTACAAGACAAAATGTTTGGAAAAAAAAGCAAAATGACAAAGTTTCGAGATGTGTATAAGAGTTCAATGGTCATATAGAGGTAAACAATGTTCAACCAGAGGTGGATCTGTCTCTTATACACATCTAGATGTGTATAAGAGACAGACCAGAGTGATGAGAATGGTTTAGTAAATCATGCTACCAATGATAATATTTCTGTAAATACTGTATCTGATGATAGTTTGTCTAATGATAACTTATCTATTAAGAATGCATCAAATGTTAATGAAGCAGGAAATAATGAATCTGTGATAGGTGTTTCTACTAATGTTGATTCTAATTTGATGGGATTGTTTAAAGCATTGACATTGCCACAAACTAAAGTTAGGCAGTATGAAGGTGATCCCTTGTATTATCATGCTTTCATTACCTCTTTTCATAATACAGTGGCTGGTATACATGATGATAACATGAAACTTAACTCACTACTTTCTCTCTCTTCCGGTAAAGCTTTGGAGTCTATCCAATATTGTGTTTTGAAGCCGCCTAGTGAAGGTTTCAAATCTGCGTGTAGGACCTTAAAGGAGAGGTTTGGGAACACGGCCGTGATTGTGCAAGCTTGGATTGGAAAAGTACTCAACCGTCCTAGAGTTGATTCCATCAAGCTTGGGGAATTTTCAGATGATCTAGAAAACTGCTTCGAAGCGCTGTCAGCATTAGGTTACTTGAATGAACTTAACAATCAAGGCAGTCTGAGACAGATAATTGAGAAGCTACCTAGATTTCTACAAAACAGATGGCAAAGTGAAAATTTCAAATTGAAGGAAAAGGGAGTAGTGCCTGGGTTGGAAAATGTCATGAAGTTTGTAAAGGCGTCAGCTAGGGAGATATAAACGATCCTGTATTTGGGAGCATCACCAATCACAAAGCTGAAGGTCAACCACCAAAACAGAAGAGGAACCAGCAGATACATAATGTTAAGGTAAACGTTCCTTCTCAAACAGCTCAACGAGATAAATGTTGGATCTGCAAATCAGATACCCATTGGCCTGATCAGTGCGAGAAGTTCACTAAGATGAAAGTTGAAGAACGGTTCGAGATGGTCAAGGAGAATCATGCCTGTTTCTCTTGTCTCAAAATTGCTGGAAGAAACCACCGAATAAATAATTGCACAAGAAAGAAGGTATTTGGGGAACAGATGGGAGACAGACGATGTGACCGTTTCCATCATAAGCTGCTACACATAACCAAGAGTGTTGGCGTAAACAACGTGCACGTAAGAAACTTCGATGAACCATTGCTCTGTGTATTGGAGGTCGAAGTAATTGGTAAAGAAGAAAGTCAGACGGCAAACGTGATGTTGGATCTGGGATCGCAAGGAACATTCGTAAGGACTGAATTCGCCAACAAATTAGGAGTCAAGGGTAAATCTGTATCCGCATCAATTACGAAAGTTGGTGGTGTTGAAAGTTTCCAGTCGAGAATTTGCGAACTAAAGTTGCGTGGAAAAGAGACTAAGGCTATTCATAACATCAGAGCATTGGAAATGCCGACTATAAATGAAGTGGGTGAAGTGAACGTAGAGAAACTGGAGGAGCACTTCCGATTAAACAACAAGTTAAAGAGGCGTGGCGGTCCAGTTGACATATTGATAGGTGTTGACTACGCATATTTGATGACGGGGGAAACTAAAAAATCTGATGGCTTAGTCGCTCTAAACTCGCCTTTGGGATGGGCTATCTTTGGCAGCAACGGCAACACTGAAATGGTTAACCGAGTAATGCATGTTAAGGTAGATAAACCAGTCAATCTAGACGACTTCTGGACGGTCGAATCAATGGGAGTTGATGTGGGTAACTGTGATTGCAAGGCCAAACTTAGTGTAGTTGAGAATATGGAAGCGAAACTCATCGAAGAATCTAGTAGTAAAGTTGGTAACCAGTGGTTGATTCCATATCCATGGGCTAAAGATCCGATGCACCTCTCAAACAATAAAGTCCAAGCTACAAAGATGCTGAATGGTTTAGAGAGACGGCTAAAGAAGAACGAAGAACATGGTGCTGCTTACCAAAGGCAGATGGAAGAAATGGTAGAAAAGGGATTCGCCAGAAAGTTGGAGGAAACTGAAATAAAGCAGTATCAAGGACCGGTTCACTACCTGCCACATCACGCTGTTGTGCGAGCCGAAAGTAAAAGCACTCCAGTGAGAATAGTATTTAACTCTGCGAATAAATGCAATGGTGAAGCCATCAATGATTATTGGATGAAAGGTCCAGATTTACTGAATGATCTGAATGGTGTTTTAATGAGATTTCGAGAACGAGAAGTAGCTGTATGCGGCGACATTTCGAAGATGTACCACAGAGTATTAATACCGGAGGTGGACCAACATGTACATAGATATTTGTGGCGAGATCTAGATGTCAATCGACCACCTGATACCTATATAATGCAAGTTTTAACATTCGGTGACAAACCAGCTGCTGCCATGGCGCAAACTGCTCTAAAACTTACAGCCAAGGAGAGTGAGGAAATGTATCCTAAAGCTGCACAAGTCCTGAAGAATGATACCTACATGGAAGATATTTGCGCTTCAGTGAATAACGTTAAAGAGGCCAAAGCTCTCACCGAAGATTTAGATATCATATTGAGCAAGGGAGGATTCAGCATTAAAGAATGGATCTCCAACAAGCTACTAAAATGTGATGTTAAGGATGCAGATGATCGGGAAGAAAATGAACAAAAGGTGCTTGGTGTTCGATGGAATTATGCCGATGACACGTTCACAGCCAAGTTAAATGACGGCATCCTTAATGAGAGTCTAACCAAAATAAAAGCATTGAGTATCATAGCCCAAGTGTTTGATCACATCGGATTTGTGGCGCCAGTAGTTGTTAAAATGAAAATGAAGATGCAAGAACTCTGGGTGTCGGGTATCAACTGGGACGATGAATTAGCCGAGAAAGACCAACAAGATTGGAAGCAGCTGTTCAGAGAACTAAAACAAATCAACACTATTAAGTTACCGAGGTGTCTCACACCAGCTAATGCTTCAGAAGAGGTAGAGCTTATAATTTTCTGCGATGCTTCAGAGAAAGCATGGAGCATGTGCTTACTTGCGGTGGAGATTGAGGGATGGAGCTATTGAGACCAGATTTGTAACTGCCAAATCGCGTGTTACTCCGCTCAAAAAATTGACCATCCCGAGACTGGAATTACAAGCTGCTGTTATGGCCGCAAGAATGGGCAGATCAATCACAACTGAATCATCACTCAACTTCAGAGATGAAATCTACTTTACAGACAGCATGATAGTCCTAAGTTGGCTACAGAAGCCATCATCCTGCTATAAACAGTTTGTTGGTACTAGAGTCATGGAAATTCAGAGTAAGACAAAGTCTGAAAATTGGAGACATGTTCCTGGAGCTGAAAACCCGGCTGATGACGTTTCACGAGGACTGTCAGCAGAAAACCTCAAAGATAGATGGATGGAAGGCCCACAATTCTTGAAGCGTCCTATGACTGAATGGTCCCAGCAAAAATTAAGAGCTCCAGAAGATGACTGCGAAGTAAAACTGGTAAAATTCAATGGTCATATAGAGGTAAACAATGTTCAACCAGAGGTGGATATATCAGATTGCCAAACATGGGAAGAAATGTTAGAGATTTATAGAAGAAGAATATATGGTGTAGATTCCCCATCGTTAGATGTACACAAAGTAAGAGACCTTGAATTACTACTACTTCAAAGGGTTCAGAGAGAGTGTTTTGCCGAAGAGCTTCATTTGTTACGCAACGGGAAGAATGTTCAGCCGAATAGCCGAATTAGGAATCTGAATCCCATGATTAGTGTTGAGGATGACTTAATCAGAGTAGGAGGAAGACTGAGGAATGCAGAAGCAGTAGAACTGGATTCTAATCCAATATTGTTAGATTCAATACACCATGTTACTAGGCTATTAATACGAAGAGTGGACACCAATGTGTTTAACCACAGTGCTGGACCTAGCCAAGTTTTTGCGTACCTGAGGAGAAAATATTGGATCCTCAAGGGGAGAAGTAAAAGTCAGAGTTAAACCACTGCCTTTCATGTCAAAAATGGAGAAAAGAACTAGGAATCCCAAAGATGGCTGACCTTCCTAAAGCTAGACTGCGTGTTCGAGAACCACCATTCTATTCTACGGGCATGGACTGTTGGGGACCCATGACAGTTAAAGTACGTAGATCCCAAGAGAAGCGTATCT